GCTCCAGCGCCGCCGCAGCAGGGTGATGCAATTGCTCGCGCGTTCGGCACCGGGGCTGTCAGCGGCCCTGGGTGGAGTCGTGGACCGGCACGGCGAACTTCTCACACGCCCAGAAGACATGCCCCAAGCCTGGCGCTCGCATTGGCAAGGGGTGCTCAGGCGTCGACAGCACGATGATCATGCTCTTCGACGCCGGCCCAGCACAACCTAGCTGTCTCCGCCGCTTTCGCCAGAAGGAGTGGTTGCCGTCGTGGGCGGACCTTGACAAGGCCATCAAGGAGGCACCGAAGTCATCCCCGGGGCTGGATGGTCTCCCGCTTGCTGTCTGGCGTTTGGGCGGAGATGTGCTCGAAGCAGCTCTTCGCGATTTGATGTCTTGCGGCGGCCCGGAGATTGTTTCCCGGGACTGCCCCGCCTTCAACGATTTTTTGATGGTCTTCTACCCAAGGTGAAGGACGTAGTTTTTCAGGCATTCTGGATCAAGGCCACCTTCGGGGTCGGCGCTTTCCAGGCGAATATGGGCAAGGCAGGCTCCGCTGCGGGACGGAAGTGCAGCGCGGGAGGCTCCAGGGCGTCGCAGCGTCGCCCTGCGACGGCAGCGAGCTCTGCGCCGTCGCGGGGGCGCGCTCGGGGTCGCGACAGCGGCCGCCAAGGAGCAGCGCGCACTCGCGAGGCGCTGCGCCGTCGCGAGGCGGCCTCGGAGATGAGGGTTGTGAGTGGAGAGTCCGCCTTTGACAAGGCCGACGTCTGCGTTCAAATGGGGGGGCCCGCTCCCCCACGATGCCAGTCCACCCGTCCCCCCAGCCCTCGGGACAGGGCCGGCCTGTTTTTGCTCTCGCAGCCTTGTGATCCGAGACGCACTCCCTGATCTATCTTATCTTACCAACCTCTCCGCAGTGCTTCGGGCTGGGGACGTAGCGCGACCCTTCGGCGAACTTGAGTCCCGTGCGGCGAGCTTCACGGGTGAGCGCCAAGCCAGGCCGGGAGGGCGTGTTTCCCTATCTGTTTGCTTTCGTTCAGGCGTGCACCAAGAAGCACGGCTGCCCTACCGGCCATCGCCCCGTGAAGGTCGGCGAGTTGCAGGATTGGGACACGGCATTGCGCCAGCTGTGCGGCAGGCACGTGCGCAACTTCACGTAGATTTTGGACAACAGGAAGGAGATTGTGATGCTTCCCCTGGACCTCCTCCACCAGCCTTCCTGGGGGCTCCACGGAGCTACAGGGGTAATTTGTCTAGGGAAGTCACGGGCGAAACGCGACCAAGATTAGTAAATCTTGGTCGCTTTGTTAAAGCGGCCCCCGCCGCGTTGCCGCGCCCGCGTCTGGCAACGATCCGCGCGAGCATCCCTTCGCGTGCTGTCCGCGCCAGCGCCCGGGCGTTGGGTAAAGGGCGGTCGCGGAAGTCATCCAGGGGGGGCCCCGCGGCGCCCGACGCGCGCGCCGTTGTCGGCGCGCGCGTTTCCTGTCCGCGCCGACGCGCCCACGCGTTTGCCCGAGGGAGCGCGGCGGGCCTCCCTTTTCGGTTCTCGCCGGCGCGGAATGCCAGCTGCGATTCGCAAGCGGCGTCGGGAATTCTCCGCGGCAAATCGCGGGGCGTTGGCCGCCGCGGCGTCGTTGCCGCGAGACGTCGGAGTAGATCGTTGCGCGCGGTGACTCCCCGACCTCATGTTTGTAGTTTCGTAGGTGACGAATGGCCGCGCCAGGGTCGCGTCGAAACCTGGGGAATCACTTATATGGAAGACGGGTCGGGGATGAAAAAGAGGAGGAAGAGGAAGAGGAAGAGGAGGAGGAGGAGGAGGAGGAGGAGGAGGAGGAGGAGGAGGAGGAGGAGGAGGAGGAGGAGGAGGGAGAGGAGGAGGAGGAGGAGGAGGATCATGAGAGGGAGGTGGAGGCGGAGGCCAGGAGAGGAAAGGAGGAGGAGACCAGGTGAAAGGGAGGGGGGGAGGGGGCCAGGGGAGGGGAGGGATGGGAGGGACAAGGGGCAGGGCAATCTGGAGGATCGGATCAGAGGTGAGAAGAAAGGGGGCGAAGACTACAGTAGTTTTGTATGCATTTGAACCAGAGTTGTTGTCGGTGCGCCGCAGAAGTTGTCCATTTGGGGCAAGCGGCGCCTGCCCGTCAGTTGCCGCTGCCTGTTTCGTATGACAGTCGCCGTTTGGGCATCGTTCCCATAACTCCGTGCACAATCTGGGCGTGCCAAGAGGAGTCTCCGCATCCAGAAACGATACCCAGACGAGTTACCCTGATCAGGGATCTGAAGTGACCCTGATCAGTGCTGGGTAAGACGTCATACCGCAAGATGGGGAGGATTGAGGAGGAATCCGAGGAGGAGCAGGAGGAGGATGAGGAGTAGGGAAAGGGGGCGGGGCGGGAGGAAGGAGGAGGAATATGCGGATGAGGAGGAGTAGGAGTAGGAATAGGAGTAGGAGTAGGAGTAGGAGTAGGAGTAGGAGTAGGAGTAGGAGTAGGAGTAGGAGTAGGAGTAGGAGTAGGAGTAGGAGTAGGAGTAGGAGTAGGAGTAGGAGGAGGAGGAGGAGGAGGAGGAGGAGGAGGAGGAGGAGGAGGATCAGAAAGGCCAGAGGCTTCTTGGATGCCTCTCGAAATCTCTTCGGATATCTCGAGAGCTTCTTGGAGTCCTTAGGGGGCCTCTCGGGGGCTTCTTGGTGGGGGCATCTTGGTGTCCCTTGGGTGCGTCTGGGAGCCTCTTGGGGGCTTCTTGGGAGCCTCTTTGGGGCCTCTCGCGGACTTCTTGGGGCCTCCTGGGCACCTCTTGGGGCTGTCTTGGAGCGCTCTTGGGAGCCTTGGGGGCAATCGTGGGGCCATCTTGGAAGAGTTCGATCAGAGAACGGGGGGTACTCAATTGGGCCCGCCGCCCCACCAGGAGGCCAAACTGTGGCCAAAGTCAAATCAGTGATTGTGGCTTTCTCGCCGAGGCCATAATGGACGCTCCAACCCTTCGCGACGCTCCCCGTCCACGTCAAGAGGTAGAGGGCAGGGGGAGGGGTCAACTCCTAGATAGCAGGCCGTCCAGCTCACTCCCCCCACCCGCCCTCCCAACACATAAGTAATACCCGGGTGCCTGCAGATCGCTTAGGAACGCCACACATGCCATGCGCGCTACGGCTTACAGAAGCACCGGGCACCCTGGAGGCCCAAGGGTCCCAGGTGCGGCACATGCTCCACGTGCGCCAATTGGGCTACGCGCTCCAGCCGCGCCAGGTGCGCCAGCTACGGGGAACCAATAGGGACCCCAGGCGCCTGGGGCCCTGGCCCCAAGGAGTTCAGGATCTTGAATCCCCCTGTCGCGAGGTGCCGAGCATTCTGCGAGCAGGGCGGCTCCTCCAGGGAGCACAAGGCATCGGTACCGATGGGCAAGTTGTGACATACTGAGGAGTCGCGAAGCAAATGAGAGCTCAGAGAAAAGAGGTCTTGTGTATGCTCCAGCTTTGGAGCCACGGCGTATCTTATATTGTTTTTGTGACGAGGATGGGTGGCCTGCGCGCAGCAAGCGACATGCCGGCACCCCTGCCGTCCCAGTCAAAATCCAATGGACAGTGGTCGCGGGGCGCCCGTGCGTGCGCCAGATGTGGAGACAAAGTGCATGTTGCATTTTTTCCCCAACCATCCTGTGGTGTTGGGTCCTCGTTTTGAAGAGAAACGCCCCGCGTTCCTCACTCCTCTTTCCTCCTCCCCCTCCCTGCCTCTGCCCTCGACGTGTTAGCCATTTCGGCACCCAATTCACGGGGTTCGTGGCCCATAGGGAGCTCCACCGAGAGCCCCAGTGGCAGGGCCCGCATGCGCTCGACGCCCATTTTGGCACATCCCTCACACGGTTCTTGGCCCCATAGGGAGCTCTGTCGAGGGCCGCAGTGGCAGGGCCAGCATGCGCCCGGCGCACATTTCGGCACACCCCTCACACGGTTCGTAGCCCCATAAGGAGCTCCACCGAAGGCCCCAGTGACAGGGCCCGCATGCACCCGACGCCCATTTCGGCACACCCCTCACACGGTTCGTGGCCCCATAGGGAGCTCCACCGAGGGCCCCAGTGGCAGGGCCCGCATGTTCCCGACGCCAATTTCGGCACAGCCCTCACATGGTTCGTGGCCCCATAGGGAGCTCTATCGAGGGCCCCAGTGGCAGGGCCCGCATGCGCCCGACGCACATTTCGGCACACCTCTCACACGGTTCGTAGCCCCATAGGGAGTTCCACCGACGTCCCCAGTGGCAGTGTCTGCATGCGCCCGACGCCCATTTTGGTACACCCCTCACTCGGTTCTTGGCCCCATAGGGAGCTCTATCGAGGGCCCCAGTGGCAGGGTCAACATGCGCCCGACGCCAATTTCGGAACACCCCTCACACGGTTCGTGGCCCCTTAAGGAGCTCCACCGAGGGCCCCAGTATGCGCCTGACGCCCGTTTTGGCACACCCCTCACACGGTTCGTGGTCACATGGGGAGCTCCACCGACGGCCCCAGTGGCGGGGTTCGCATGCACCCTTGCCACACCCCTCACACGGTTCGTGGCCCCACAGGGAGCTCCACCGAGGGCCCCGGTGGCAGGGTCCGCATGCGCCCGACGCCAATTTCGGCACACCTCTCACACGGTTCGTGGCCCCATAGGGAGCTCCACCGAAAGCGGTACCCACAACGCGGTACCCATGACAGCACATGGTTGGGTTTTTCGCCAAGATAATCTCCAAGGGATGGTGGGGGGGTGCTCGTTGGTCCGGGTTCGCCTGGGGGAAGGGGTGTTTATTAATAGGGAACAGGGATAAACCCCTCCCCGAAGGGGAAGACTGGGGTTGGAAGGGGAAAGAGCCCAGGTCATTCACGCCCTGAAGGTCCTGTTGGGCTGCCCGTCGCCGCGTGGCGCGCCAGTTCCGAGCTCGTGAGGTCCGCATGAATTTCTTGGATTGGCGCCGCCAGGGGGGGCTCCAGCGCCTTTGACACTTGCTGTTTCAGTGTTTTCTTGAGTGGTTGCTGTTCTACTTCTCCGCCACCAGATGGCATGTAGTGCGAGCGCTCCCTGCGCAAGGCGGGATGTTTACCATGCCCCCACTCTGGCCCCCTCGTGGGGTTGGGGCGTGAGCGCGCGTCGACCGCCTGTCAGAACCCCTTCCTCCTCCCGAGGGCATGGAGTGCGAGCGCTCCCTGCTGATCGCCACCATTGACCAGCTCCGCGCCGCGGCAGAGGCCGCGGTGCAGCGCGCGGAACAGGCCGAGGAGGCCAGGCAGGCGGCGCTGCGGCAGTCCTTCGACCCAGGGCTCAGGCCCTCGGCGACCCTCGGCGACGACCACGGCGGCGGCAGAGGCGGCGGCTGCGACGACGGCGACGGCGGTGCGCGCGCGCTCCGGCAGCGCTTCGACGACGACGACGTCGACGGCGATGACGACAGCGGTGGCCGCTGCGGCGGTGCTTTAAGAAGAGTAAGCTCTTCTTCTTTCTGTTGGCTTCGGGATCCCCCGTCGCGGCCGCGACTGGACGCGGCTCGAACAAACATTGGTTCGGGGACCACGGAGGGCCGGGGGATCGATTCTGCGCTAACGGTGGGTTGGCTGGGACATCCGAGCAGGCACCTGCAGAGGGTGCGTGGCTGTGCGGGTGTTATGGCCGTCGCAGTTGTCGCCCTCCGTGGCCGCCCTTCTCCGGCCAACTGCCCAGGTTCTAGGTGGCAACTCGCCTAATCGAGTCGCCCTTCTGAGCTGACCGCGTCTTCAGTCTTATGATGTTCCGACCCGCTTTACCTTGATCGCCAGAAAGACTTTCGAGCACCAAAAGAGTACCGAAACTCGAGGGTTTTTACGTGTCGGGCCCTGGGAGACACTCGTCCGACACTGTTTCAACACTGTTTCGGCACTCTTTCGACACTTTTCTGGGTGCTCGAAATTATTCCTGAGATGTGGTCCTTAAGTACGATGGGAGCAAAATAACCTTGCCCTTCTTAGCTGACCTTCCCCTTGCCCCCCCACCAAGGGGCATCTGTGCGTCGACCCTGGGGCGGCGGCGACCTCCAGGGGGACTCGAGCGGTATGCAGATCCTCCCGCCCCACGTGCTTTCGGTCGGTGTCTAGCTTTTCTATCGGGGGCCCCTCCTTTCCATCACCTGCTTGAGGAGGAGGAGGAGGAGGTGGAGGAGGAGGAGGTTCGGATCGGATCGGATCGGATCCGATCGGTCAGTTAGCCTCGGGATGAGAATGCGGTGGTCCAGGGCGCCTTCAGGGCGCTCCTGAGCACCATGGCCTGGCGACGGCACCTCATGGCTTGCCGGCTCCCAGAGTTTCAGGGTTCATTCGCATCTGCTCTATGTTCGGAGCGCTCCCCTGCCCTCTGGGGGGGGGCGCCTATGTGCTCCAGGATCGGGGGGTGGCAGCCCCGTGGCAGTCAATTGTTCACTCGCTCCGATCCTGGGCCACCAGGCCGATTGATGTAAAAACCTTCCTGGATAGGCCGGCCGCTCCGATTCTGGGCAGGCAGGCCAAGCCGTGGGGGTGTATACGCGTCGACGTCTGTGCTCGCGACACTGGGATCTGAAAGCCCTTCTCGTTGGGCTGGTCCTTTGGAGCCTCTCGCTGTCCCGCCGGCCAGGCTTTGTCAGCGCCACGCCCAAGTGTGAGGTCAGCCGACGTCGCCAACGTACGCCGACGACGCCACGACAACGACGCACGATGGTGAAGACTTGCGAGGACTACGACGCACGACGACAACGACGCACGGCGATGCCAGCGCTGCCCGCGCCGCCGATGGACTCTTGTGGGCCTGGGGCCTCTTGGGGGAAGCCGAAGGGCCTGCCGATGGACCGCCGAGTCGCCACAGCGTCGTCTCCGTCTCCGTCTTCGTCGTCGTCGTCGCCGCCGCCGCCGCCGTCGTCGTCCTCGTCCTCGTCGCCGTCCTCGTCGTAGTCGTTTTCGTCGCCATCGCTGTCTTCGTCCCCTCTCAAACATCTACCCCTGGAACTGTCCAGGCGTGCTGCGTCTTGACCAGATGTCCAAGCGATTCCAGCCATGGCCACGAGGGCGCCCCAGGAGGTAACCGAAAAACGGCAATCTAAGCGTCGGCGTCGTTCATCGTCGTCGTTGTCGTCGTCGTCGTCGTCGTTCATCGTCGTCGTCGTCGTCGTCGTCTTCCCCGTCGAGTGCCGGCCCAGGGACTTCATCAGCTCCGAGGTTAGACGGGCGGTCCGCGCCGCAGCCGACCAGGCCACCCCATCTTCGCGCTTTCGTCGTCGTCGCCGCCGTTGCCGTCGTTGTCGTCGTCGGTGTCGTCCTCGTGCGACATCGCCACCGTCGTCGCAAACGTCGCTGACGTTGCGCGGCGCTGCCTCGCGACACCGTCGTCGTGCGACAGCTTCGGCGGCGGCTGCGACGTCATCGTGCGACCTCGTCGTGCGACCTCGTCGTGCGACGTCGTCGTGCGACGTCGTCGTGCGACGCCGACTTCGTCGTCCTCATCGCGCCACGCCGTCGTGCGGCGGCTGCTCTGCGACGTACGTAGTCGTGCGATGCCGTCGTCGCCATCGTGCGACGTCGAGGTGCGACGCAGTCGTGCAACGTTGTCTTCGCCGTTGTCGTCGCCGTCGCCGTCGCCGTCGCCGTCGCCGCCGCCGCCGCCGCCGCCGCCGCCGTCGTCGTCGTCGTCGTCGTCGTCGTCGTCGTCGTCGTCGTCGTCGTCGTCGTCGTCGTCGTCGTCGTCTCGGATGTGTTCGAGCGTTCCTGGAAGTTCTAGTTGCGGCGGCTGGACGCAGCTCGAGAATCTGGCCAGAATGGCCCGAGGGTTGGGGCAGGAGGCGGACTATGAGCGGATCTCGTCACCGCGCGGGGGCGTCGAGAGGGAGGGAGGGAGAGGGAGGGATGAAAGGGAGGGAGGAAGGGAGGGAGGGAGAGAAGGAGGGCAGCAACGACGCGACGACGAAGCCGCGCGACGACGCCGCACGACGACGACAGCGACGTCCGCGGGCGAGCCCCAGGCCACGGCGGAGCTCCGTGCCACGGCCGAGGACGGCGGGGGCGACCCCTGGGAAGCCTCGCCACTCCGCCTCCAGCCCGACCTCCAGTGTCGTCGCACAGGGACGTCGTGCGTCGCCGCCGCCGCCGCCGCCGCCGCCGCCGCCGCCGCCGCCGCCGCCGCGTCGTCGTCGTCGTCGTCGTCGTCGTCGTCGTCGTCGTCGTCGTCGTCGTCGTCGTCGTCGTCGTCGTCGTCGTCGTCGTCGTGGTCGTCGTCGTCGTCGCCGTCGTCGTCGTCGTCGTTCTCGTCGTTTTCGTCGTCGTTTTCGTCGTCGTCGTCGTCGTCGTTTTCGTCGTCCGCGTTGCAGAGGAGGAGAAGGAGGAGGAGGAGGAGGAGGAGGAGGAGGAGGGGGATGAGGAGGAGGAGGAGGAAGAGGAGGAGGAGGGGGAGGAGGAGGTAGAGACCAGCACCACCACGCCCAGAACGTCGGCGAGCAGTACGACCGAGAGCAACACCACGAGTGGGACGAGCACGAGACGTACCAGCAGCACCACCACGCACACCACGTTGGCGAGCAGTACAATCGAGAGCAGCACCAGGAACATGACCAGCTCGACCGATACGGGCAGCACCGCGACGCCCAGCACGACGGCGAGCAGTACGACCGAGAGCAGCACCACGAGTGTAAAGAGCACGACTGGTACCAGCAGCACGGGTACGCCCAGCACATCGGTGAGCAGCACGACCGAGAGCAGCACCGCGAGTGTGACGAGCACGACCGACTTCAGCATCACCACTACGCCGAGCACGTCGGCGAGCAGTACGACTGAGAGCAGCGCCACGAGTACGACGATCACGACCGAGACCAGCAGCACCACCACGCCCAGCACGTCGGCGAGCAGTTCGACAAAAAGCAGCACCACGACAGTGACGAGCACGATCGGGGTCAGCAGCACCGCCACGCCCAGCGCGTCGGCGAACAGTACGACCGAGAGCAGCACCACGAGTGTAAAGAGCACGACTGTTATCAGCAGCACGGGTACGCCCCGCACATCGGTGAGCAGTACGACCGAGAGCAGCACCGCGAGTGTGACGAGCACGACCGACTTCAGCAGCACCACTACGCCGAGCACGGCGGCGAGCGGTACGACGGAGAGCAGAGCCACGAGAATGACGAGCACGACAGGTACCAGCAGCACCACTAGCATCACTACGACCAGCACGTCGGCGAGCAGCACGGGTACAGGTATAACCATGAGTGTTCCGAGCGAGCCCAGTACCAGCAACACCACTACGCCCAACACGTCGTCGAGCAGCAGCGGTGAGAGCAGCAACGCGAGTGTTCAGAGTGCGACTGGTACCAACAACACCACTACAACCAGCACGACGATAAGCATTACGAGCACGACCAATACCATCAGCATCATGCTTCACAGCAACATTGCAACTAGCGGCACCACACTGACCAGCACGACGGACAGCAGCAGCGCCACGTCCAGCAGCACAATCACTGGTGAGACCAGGGGAACTTGCCGCACCGTCCCCGAGAGGGCGTTGCGCCTCTTCTGGCACGCCCGCGGACGGTCGCAGGTGCTTGCGGCCTTGCTGTTCTGGGCGCTCTCGGCATGGAATGCCGCCGGCCATCGGGGGAGTGCAGGATGTCAGCTGGAGCCGACTCAGCAGCTGCCAATCCCCCTCACCATGCTGTGCCTCGCAGGCCATCTCACGTGCGCTCTCGCGGTGCTCACCTGTCTCTCTGTGGACCTGCTCTTTGCCGTACTAACGATCGGGCGGCGCCTCATGGCCAGGCCCTCCAAGGCGTGCGGACTCGTGCAGAAGTATGGCAAGAAGTACGCTCTCGCGATCGTGCTGCTCGTTAGTTGCCTGCTGGCCGCTGCGCTTACGGGAGCTGCTGTCGGTGCCCCCAGCTACACGATGACGTTGGCCACGGCTACATTGAGTGCCCCGACGCCTCGGGCTCCTCGTCACCACGGCTGGACGCAGCTCGAAAACCTGGCCAGGAGGAACCAAGCTTACGGGATGACGCCAGCTGCGATGGCCGCGACGTGGCGCGAGCTGGGCTTCGACTGCACGCTGGGGTACCCCGGGGAAGGCCCTGGCGCGGCCGCGGCCGCCACAGCGGACGATATGGACACGAATGCGCCGACCGACGACGGGCTCCTCGAGGCAAGACACGGGCGGATTCGGGCGCAACGAACTGGCGAATCCTCCCGCTCTGGCACTGCTGCTGCCGCTGGGCATGGCGCCCTACCAGACGACGCTGCCGGGCAACGGTCGCGACGACGGCCACGAGAGGACGCCGCGACGTGGTACGCCACGCTCCCCCGGACGGGCAGAGCAGCTACGTGCGCGATGTGTACTTCCATTATACCGCCGCAGGTGATCCGCTGTCGCACAAGCATTGCGCCGCAGAGCCCCGTCGCCTGCTTGGAGTGCGCTCTTGTCTGCGCCCAGACCAGCAACGCTGCCTTGGAACTGGCCGACGACCTTCCTTTTGCACTCAAAAGAGAAGTTGAACACAAATGGGCTGCCGTCGTCACCGCGCCGGCGCCGCGTGCGCCAGCCGACGCGCAACTCCAACTCGACACGGCCAGGCACGCCAGCAGCGACGCCAACGCCGAATGGGCGGACGCCATCACGCCAGAAATGGTCCAACAACCAGTGCCCACGGCCGCCCATATACCGCCGCACGCTCGCGGGGTGGTGGGCGCCATCATAACGGAGCACACGAAGGCTTTCGCCCACGAGATCCACCACGGCACCCCGGAGTCCATCACCAAGGCGGCCAAGCGTTGGTTCATGCTCCCTAAGCTGCTGTTCGGGCACGCCAACCTCCGAGGCGGCAAGAGAGGCAACGCTCAGCTCACCACTACGCTGTTCCGCCGGGCCACGGAGATCAGGGAGCACCGCGAAGCGCAGCTTTGGGGCGCCGTCCTTGATTCCGCCCCACCTCCTTTGCGCGCCAGGCGGAAGACTACCGCAGAGCACGACGTTATGACGGCGCGCAAACTCGTGGAGGCAGGCGCCGTGGGCAAAGCTACGAGAGTCCTCCGCGAAGCGCTCGAAATTGCAGGAGACCAGCTGACCGTGCAAGCCGCGCCGCAGCTCTTCCCACACCATCAACCACAGCCACCAGCAGCCTACGACGAACAGGACGACGAGCAGCAACAGTTCGAGCTACACTTCGCCAGAGCCTTGCGGGCCGCACCAAAACGAAGCGCAGCTGGGCCCGACGGGTGGCGGTACGAGCACTTCCAACTCGTCCAAACTGACCTGTCCGCTCTGTGTGCCCTGGCCACAGTGGCCGCAGCACTAGCCCGCGGCACCCTCCCGCAGGAAGTGCAGGAACTGGCGACGGCCGCCCGCCTCCTCCCGCTCACCAAGAGCCCCACCCGAATCCGCCCCATCAACCTCGCCAGCCCGCTCCGCCGTCTCGCGTCCAAGGCGGTCAACAAAATGGCGGCGGACGAGGTCGCCGAGGGGCTTCGCGGCAAGCAGTACGGGTACAAGCACACGGCTGGGGCGGAACTAGTCCACAAGCACGTGACCACTGCCCTCCACGTCCGCCCGGACTACGCCGTGCTCTCTCTGGACGCTGCAGACGCCTTCCAGAACCTGAGCAGGGTGCACATCAACGAAGGTATCGATACTCACTGCCCAAAACTCCGCCGATGGGCAAGAGGCTTCCTGCCGGACGCCGGGCAGGTAGTCTACCACGACACCGGGGGCAGAAGACACATTTGGAACCAAACGACGGGGATCTTCCAGGGGTGCGGCATGGCCACCACGCTCTTCTGCCTCGGACTCGACCGAGCCCTCGAGAGAGCCAAACACCAACTCGACGCAGCAGGTATACAGCACGAGCTCTTCGGCTACATCGACGACCTCACCATCCTTGCGAAGCCTGAAGACCTGCCCACCACATACGCAGCATACACCAACGCACTCAGCCAAGCCGGCCTCCAAACACGCGTCGACAAATGTGAGGTGTGGGCGAGGAATCCTGCCGCGATGCCAGCGGGCCTACCCGTGCCGCGAGTAGAGCAGCCCACCATCTTACGACAACACGCCGACGACTACTCCGGCCTGGCACCGACGCCGGTAACCGCCGACCAGCACGCCGAGGAGGGCAGCCTGCACTCACCCGCCTCGCCGCGACTACAACGCCAACGAACCAGGAGGACGACTGCCATGGCCAGACTCATGGACCTTCACAAAGCCGGCCTAGACGTTCAGACGTCTTTGGTACTTCTACGAACCCTCACTGCAGGAGACATGACTTGGTACATGCGCACCACCGGGGTTCCCGCCCAAACGGCGACACAGCTCGACGCCGACCTGCTCAGCACACTGGAGGAGCTAGTACAAACGCACGACCTCACAGCGGAGCAGAAAGAGAAATACTGGCACCCTGTCGCTTTGGGCGGCTTGGGATTCCAGAGCGTGAGCGCAGCGCGCCTGGATGCCCAAGCGGCCTCGTGGGCGCTCTGCGAGAAGCCAGTGCTCCAGCGACTGGGCCTTCGCGACAGAGATGACCTT